GGTGAAATCGGTTCACAACCACGCCTGAAATCTCGATTATCACTTTATCATGAGAGAGTATAAAATGTTCGGTGACACCCGAACTTAGCCCTTCCTTACTTCTTAAATTTATTTTAGCGTAAAAGTAACTATTTTTAGGAAAAAAAATATTTATGGATATTTAATCCGTCTGAAAAACTGAGAAAATCTTTTGTTTAAAATTATTTACTAATAATTTCTCAAAAAAACAAAAAAAAAAAAACATATTTTTATGTGTAGCTTTATATTAGAATTCACTGTATTTGGCGCCAATGAGCTAAGATTATCATTTAAAGCGCCTCTTACGTACAAATATACATCACGACTGGGCTCCACAAGCCAATAAACATACATATGTACGTATGTATGTGCTTATTAGTACTTATACATAAGTATGCACGTCATTGCAAATACTAATATAATTTCCCTGATAAGTATGTTAATTTTCTATGAAATATATGTATGCATATGCAAGCAAATCAGTGTATGTAAATACAGATAGGAATATATAATATATTGAAATAGCGAAGATTTATACTATCATTACGGCATGCAAATATATACACAAGTAGGTACATACATATGTATGTTTGCAGCTATAAACCGTGACCACAGTGAATACTTGGATCATATAAGGGGCGTTTTGGATGTTGTCTACGTGGCTCGTGGACAAAAGCGATTGCTAGATAACCTAAAACATATTTTCAGGAATTCTCATCAGCACATACATATGGACATATGTATATGTGATCATTCATAGAATCGGCGAATTTTTAATATTACTTCAGCAATATAATTTATAGTAAATATTGATATTTGAATAGAGGGTGGTTAATTTGGTATGGAATACACCGGCAATTCATAAATACATATAAAAGATTTTTTGCAAGATCGTCATACTAATACTAAACTATATGCTATAGTGTTGAATGAAAAAGTTTTCCGTGCAAGAATTTGATTCTGATCGGTCTGTTTGTATTGCAGCTATATGCTATAGTGAATGACCAGCTTCTTGGGAGAAAGGGTTGTGTGTAAAACTTCAGATCGATCAAATCGAGATCAAGTTCTTCTAGTGATCTAGTGATTCCGGCCTTCCTGGTCTTTTAAACCTAAAAGAAATTCTCTCTAGAGGATCAAAAATTCACAAGATGATGGCGTTTTTAAAATAAGGTCAGTTTTGCCCAAAATTTTGTTTGTTTTTGCCCAGACCAAAACGTTGCGTAGGGATATACCTTAAGGTGTAAAACGTCAACCAGAGGATATCAATCCAAGCCATTTTATATTTACATATATTATATGTAACTTATACTTTGTCCGACATATAGGGCATGAGGTTTGTTAGAAAAATGAAAATCACTATGGTATGTGGTATATGGGTGTTGGGGTAGTATCGACCGGATTTTTGCATTAGGGGGGTTCAAGGAAGAATTTACTCGATTCAACCCTTTTCTTATATACTGAATTACTATTGTCAGGAAAGGATTTCCTCTGAATTTCAATTGTATATCTCACTCATTGACCGATATTTTTGGTCAAAAGTCAACTATATACATACATACTCGGTTTAGGCCGATTTCACTCATTTTCACACCGTCACATACGAATAGGAGAGGAATGCCACGATCTAAATTTAGTCGAAATCGGTCGGTCGGGTCGTGAGATAAGTGGGCGGTGCAACTCCGTTCTCCAATTTTTACACCGGATCCCATAAAGCTCTCTCATACCATCTAGCTGGTAAAATTTAATGTCTACCGTTTTATGGGGAATAATCGGGGCTATCTTCCGATTTCATTCATTTTTACACTGTAGGCAGGAGTTTTTATTTTATTTGTGCTCGACAAATTTGGTTATTGTAGCTTTAGTGGTTTAGGAGATATGCACATTAATTTAGGGCTTAGTTCGTACTTAGCAAGTTCCATCTAGATATATCTCAATTTTTACTCAAGTTACAAGCTTGCACGGATGCACACACAGACATATATAAGGTTTGTCAGTCCCCCGGATTTGAGCTCGTCTCGTCATCCTGGTCATTTATAGGTACTATATATGCATAACCCTATATCTATCTCGATTAGTTTTATGTGTGAGCTGAGAAGTATCGAACTATTGATTTTCACATGACAGGTCAGCTTTTGCTCACACTAATATATTTCGGCAACCGATGAAACATTTAATGTAGGATAACTTAAAACTCTGAGGTAAGGTCTTACTGGGCTAAGTATTTTACTCGTTTTTTCTAAAAACTATTGCAATACAAAGACATATTTTGTTCATCACTACCCGCAGTTTGAATAGGAAAAAAACTTGTTTTCTTTAGCTGACACATTTAGTTGGAATATAGGGCATTTGCTTACACATACAAGTATTATATGTATGTATGCATTATATTTGTACTTCTACATATATAAGTAAAATCTTTTAAGTACTTGTATGCATGTGTTTTTGCATTTATAAGCTTTTTCGTTTTAAACATATTTGTGAATATACTATGTATGGTATACTTTTTGCACACCTGACACATACATACATTTTACGTACAGCCGAACGTAGATGCATATTCCTCACATACATATGTCATCGCATTTGTCCCTATTTTTAAATTCGCGCTTCTTTGATGCCTCCGTAGGCTGTGTAATTATACTCGCAAGAAGATATGAGTGTAGCTAAAAATAAGCTGTCTTGAGCTATAATTAGCGAATAATTAAAAGAAAAGCAATCGAAGGGGGCATACTTCTGAACTCAAGCATCAATTTGTACTTATATTCATTGAAATATTTATGTAAATTAGGGTAGTTCTTATTTTTAAGGTTTAAGAATGTATAACCATTAGAAAATAAGGTTTGAAAAGTTTTAGAGTTTGGAAGGTAAGAACAGTTTGCGTATATTGAATTATTTGTTATAATAAATGCATCACATTTATTAATTATTTTCACTTAAATGAAAGTTTTGAAGAGTTGTATTTTTTTTTAACTATATAAATTTGTTTTATGTGCTTGTTGTCAAAAATTTAACTGCAAAGGGTATTATATGTAAGAACGTCTTGGATAATATTTTCTAGTAAAAAAATTGAAATACTGTATATTTTTTGATATTTTTGGAAAGTCTATACAATAAAAGTAAGTTTATACTTCCATTAAGTTCTCCCTATATGATATTATGTATGTATATACATCGACGACATCCATACAATATACATATTCTGAGATCGTGTCGATTTGACTTTGGACAGCTTGTAGGAAAAAAATTGTATTCTCATTAAAATTAGAAGCATATATTTTATATATATTGGGTAGTCGAGAAAGTTTTTTCGTATTTTGTCAATAGATGCCGTTGCCAACCAAGCACATTGTGTCATATAATATAGTGTTGCAAAGGTGAGATTTTAACCTTCATTTAACTAAAAAAATTAAATTGGGAGAAGTTAAAAAAAGCTACAGCTGAAAATAATGAATAATGAAGGTTGCCACGCAAGCCACCGATGAAATTTGTGAAATTTATGGAGACTATGCTGTATCAGTTCGTGAAGCACAAAAATGGTTGACTCGCCTCCGTTATGGAAATTTCAAATTTTCGATTTACACTGAAGGAATAATGTCTTTTGCGGAAAAATGGCAAAAAGTGGTAAACCAAACTGGTACATATTTGTTTATTTATTTATTAGTATAATTATAAAAAACAAAAAAAAAAAAATATGTTGAAGTTTGATTAGACATACGGAAAGACGTTTTCGACTACCCAATTCATTATATCATAAGCAAGTTGTTAAGCAGCTTAAACGGAAGAGAAACCATCACTGAGTGTCATTTTAGTTTTTTATTAATATATCTATCAGCAAATGACTTTTCAAGTGAAAAAACTATAGCACAAGATATATTTTAAAGAAAAATAGAATTATTTTGTTTATTTATATGACTTGTGAATGGCATAACGGTACTTTCGACAACGATGAGCGTTATTAATAGTTAGGTGACAAAAACGCAACGCCATTTTTCACTAATTCCAAACAAAAGAAGCCTGAAATAGAGGTGAAACGGCTAACATAAACATAAAATTAATGAAAACATTGAATTTATTAAAAAAAAACAGATAACCCTATACTTAATACTAATGCCTCTTTTTATAAAACAAAAAAAAAAAAAAAAATTGAAAACGTTATTTAATTTATGAATATTTTATTCCCAACACACTTTGCATAATGGACTTTATCATACAAAAGACTTAAGTAACGAACTTGAAGTAACTTCAGCGTCTATAAATTTTCGAAGATATTCAACAGCTCATCATCGCCAATAAAGGTAACACAAATTAGACTACGCTGACTCCACCCGCGCACGCCTTCTAGTCAACTCTGTTGCAACATGCGATATTTGAGCATTTTCCAAGACAGAACGCTCTGGTTCAGACCCTCGCACAGCCGCACCACACAGCCTTTAAGTAAGAAAACCACAAAAACACAAGTAAAAAATTACAAAAAATAATCTACAAAGTTAATTAGCTTTAAATATTTAATTAGAAATTGTTTTCAATGCATCAACTGGTTCTGAGCGAGTTCATTGACAACGCACGGCCAGCACTTCATCTCGTTTAACGTGCAAAGCGAGCACAATGCATGCCAACATGTTTACAGCAAATGACGCTCTGCGTAAGAATTAATTAGAATGAAGCAAATGGTCTATTGACAACCAATTTCATGCGCAAATGAACCACTGGTACACTAACCCACAAGATACTTGATAACTCGCAGCAAAACCATAATTGAACACTTTAGATTTATTTTTTATTTGAACTAAAAAGTGTGTTAAATATCAATATTGTCGTTGTTGTTGTAATTATGTCGTTTTACTAAATGCCGCGACGCGTTATTCGCCGTTGTACCGCTCAAGTTGTTTGCTCGCCGAAGCTTAGAATGCAATTGAACGCAGAATCGAAATGCAACGTTGATCTTAAACGAAAAGTATGAGTGTGTAAGCGAGCAGCAGCAACACTGTGGGTAGGCGAATGTTGCAGGCTATGTGTTCCGGCTGATTGCCTTTGTTGCACCAGCCAATTGGGCTGTTTTGTTGCCTGACAGTGGCAGTGGTAACGGTAGTTGCATTTATTTGCACATTCGCTAAGGAGCTTGTAGGTCGTGGCTTTTTTGCTGCCTAATAAGCAGACACACATACACACATATATGCCTCGTTTCATGTGTTGCACATGCGTGTTTATTCCGCCATGAATGCAACTAGATTTTGTTTGTTTTTGCCACTGAAGCCCACACCTCGATATATGTATGTATATGCATGTAAATACTTGATTTTAAAAAGTCATATTGTTACACACACAAATAAACACACATTCATACAAATATGGTATTATAGTCGTTGCTTGTTTGTTGATGCAGAGGACAATATTTTGTAGTAGAGGCTTTGATTAATGGCCTGCCGGTTATGGCTGGAAGCGTTAGTGTGCGCGATAGTGTTGGTAAATTCTAACTGTAAGCACTGTGTGTTCAATTCTCTTGAGAGTTTGTTGAGCATTTAATGCCTTCATAACTGTTTTACTGACATTTAGTAGTTGGTAGAGAATTGCCTCACTCACAAAATCACCTCATTCATTTTACTTTATTAATTCTAGTGTTTTCAGCCAAATCTCTTTCTTAAATGTGATTTTAAGGAATTATTGTTCCATAAATGTATTAAAATATCTATTCGTACTTCGGTTATAGCGTTATTCGAACTACTACTCTTACTTATCGTACAAAAGGCGCATCCTTCTGGTGTCTAAAAACTTACTTAGAAGCCATTTTGGGCAAGAGAACACTATTCCTGGGTTCCCAAAAGAATATTTTTATTCCATACAAGTCTTAATTTTTCGTTAGTTCTGTGAATCGCCAAAAATAGCTCCTGGCTTTGACCTTTCTAATGAAATTAACCATAATATCTCTATGTCTGTCCAGGAGAATTCACATTGACTTCAACTCGAAACCACTATACCTCATGAAGCAATTTGGCTACTAGAAAGCAGAAGTTAAGTGATATCAAAAGGATGCTGTGGTTAGCACACTTGTACACTTCCAAATCCCCAGGCTGATGGAATATTGCATAAAGCCTTTACATATATATGATCAAATATGACCCGGACTAGTACATTTTCATGGTTTTTCGTATATATCTTCATTATTGCCTTCATTATTATCATTAGGCCTCTAAGCTCTTAAAAACATGCTAAGACGTAATCCATTCTCCAGTACCCTTCTTTTCGATTGACACTCCTTATATCCAAAACATGAACCAAATTGTGCTGATTCAATCATCAGATCCTCTTCTATCACAGAGATGATTTTTTAGCACTGTTTTTTCATTCAGTTTTTCTATAATTTTTGTCGTTATTAACAGAGATGGATGGAAACTCGTATGAGGAAGGTTTTCGATGACTTCACGACCTCCACTGAATGCTTTGTGCCACTGAAATACTCGTGTTCCTGATATGGTAGAGTCCGCAAAATATGTCCTTAACCGTAATTCTATTGCAGACGCAAAACTTTAGGCAAATTGTTATTGTTAATGAACTTTTTGATAATGGTAAGAATTGCCAGACTAATTGTTTGCGTCCTGAACCAACTAAACACACACTAATTGACAAATGGAAATCAAATTTCACTCGAACATCAAAAAAGTTGTACCATTCTCAATTTTTCATGATTTCTATTTATCAATTTGAATTGCCGGCACAGTTTAAATGACTCAGTCTGAGTTAAATTTGATCGGAAAGTATTAAGGTCTGTGAACTGAATTTTTGGAGGTTAGTATTCTGAAAATGAAAATAACACACATTTTTTACAATATTTGTATATTTTTATCTATCTGAATCCAGCACCAACATACTAGGTTTCTATTCTTACATCTCTTTCTGGTTAGTTGCACAAGACTAGAAACTTAATTACTGTTTCCAGTACAATTACAAGTTTTCGGTCTACACCCTTTCTAACAGTCTTACAGATTTTTGCTTGATAATATATTCTGATGGTTGATCAAACATCAGAATTTGTTTGTGCAAAGAAGGTGTTGTACATATGCTAATGGATTGCAGCTGCGGCAAATTTTTTGGATATTGCATTTTGTGTCACTTCGCCGACTTTTTTCTGCATAAGGCAACATATAAATACAAAAGCATAATTTTTTAAACATTATCAGTTTTAATTAAATTCTGGTACAATGAATTGCTGAAAAGGCGTTTGGATAAAACCGTTAATCACCAAATTCGGCTAATAAAATTGATTGCTTACTAATTTCGACTGTAACGTTTTGGATAACGGTAAAGGTATAACTCACTGACGCAGGGCAACTCATACATACCTGCGAGTATGACGCGGACATGAGTAGAAGGGGCAGCACACACATGTTGCAACAGTGACATGTAGCGGTGCGCACGTACATAGCATTATACTTGCAACAACACAGTGAGTGACGTGCATATGCCTAATTGCTGCCACATAACCTTCAACGGACACTAACGGGTTGGCGCATGCGCAGCGACGGGGCTGGTGATCGTGAATTTAAACAACTTTTCGCAGTCCGTTGTGGCTTTCGATACAACAACCTGTCGTGGCAGCACAAGTGTGGCGTGTTCGGTGGAAGTTGAAGTTGTAAGCTCTGCTTGTTGGTGTATGTGAATGGCAAATATTTCTGTTTGCACTTCATTGCTGGCTAAAGACGCGGTTTGTCGACTTCTGTTGTTGTTGTGCTCTATTGACTGCTTGCCCTAGTTGCATTACGCAATTCGGTAGCAATAAACTTCAGGTTGGCCATTTTCGGCAATTTCCATGTTAATGTTTTCCGTTTTTTCGTGCCTTTCGAAGCAGAACGCTGCAACGGCGGCCAGCGAATCGCGTTTGGTTAACGCAGTCTGCTGCCACGAGATCTGTTTACGCAATGAACGTTGCAATCAATCGAGCCGTTCACCTTCACGCAGCAGCACATTTGACTTCTTCTTGTTGCTGTTTATTTATTTATTTATTTACTTTTGTCGTTGGGTCTGCATGGCTTTTGGTGCGGCGGTTCAATTATTGTATGTTGTGTGTGTGTTTGTAAATATGAGTTTTGAGATGTATGTGTATGTGTGTGCATAAGTGTATTCACTTACACATTCAGTTAGTTTAGAGTTCATGTCGCCACTAAATTAATTATCCACCACTTGTTTGGGGCTCTGCAAATTATCCATAGATCAGCGATTAGGTTGTATAAAAAGGGGTAAAGTGACACATAAGTGAATGTGTATGTGTGTGAGTGGATCAAATTTTTATGTGACCAATAAGTGGATGTAATAGTTATAGCAATTAATTGAAATTACTTGCAACTGATGGCTCAACTTGTTTAAACTCTAAAGAGAGAATGGGCAGCAATTAAGCAAGGAAGCGCTCAATTCAGTTCTGGGGTGAAGATAAGCTGCCATTATGTAAACATTAGCTTTCAGAATGCAAACAACTCTTAATATTGTATTGACATTCATGAAATCTTAGCCGCAAGCGAGATCATAAATATGGAATTATATATCTAGTGAACAAGTCATTTATAATAAATTAATGCAAACCATCTTTTCGTTAAAATAAATAAAAAATTTTATGGTATTAATAATAACCGGAAAATCATAATTTATTAAAAATATGTTCGGTTTTGTTGCTGTTGTAGCTTAAAACGCTTCAGAAATAGTATTAATCAGTCTGATTTTTTCTGAAAATAAACACATTCATGACGAATACAAAATTAATTTTTTTATGTTTATTTATTGGGTGTACGGTTAAATAAATTGTTGCAAAGGCACGTAAAAAAGGTCCTTTACGATGCCCAAGATTGCTGCCGCAATTTAGTCTAAAACAAAAATTTCGAAAAGATTATTATTCTGTAAGAAAGTCGCTATCGCGCTACAGAAGCTTTTTTTGTTTTGAAATTTGAAAAAATGGCGTCGTTGGAACTGGATATCTTCGATCTTTCATTGAGAGTGGAAAAGACGCGTTTAAAGATTGTATGTTCCCCACTCTGTTCCCTTTCTACAAGAAACGCTGTCGTGGCCATAATAATTTCAATTTCGATTTCAAAATTGGGGAGAGTGTTTATTATAGTGTATACTATCCGCTAATGCACCAAAAAATAAAAAATGTCTCTCAAAAAGACGAATATCAATCCTGATCAGTTCTGTTTGCTTGACTCTTGCTAACATGTTAAATGGTAATGCCAAAAGTAATAACATAAAAATAATAGTCATTACATTCTAATAGCTTGCTAATGGTATTTATTTATAATAGTTCGTGCCTTAAGTTTTTTGTTTTATATAAGCATGGCCCTTAATAGAATGAACTCTTGATTATTTATATCGACTGTCCCAAAATTAACGAAGAATTGCAATTAAATACAAGGTGTTCCAAAATTAAGCAATATTTAAATTTATATGTAGTAAAATATTGACAACCCTAAAAAATCAATAGCTGAAAGTTTAGGCTTATTGAAAATGGGGTGCTAATGATACAACAACGTGTCTTCATTATTCAACAGTATTTTAAAAGTAATAAAAACTCGGAATATTGTGTTAACTTTGTAAAATGTAAGATTACTGAAATGGTGGAAAATTTAAATCTTTCGTTAATTTTCGGACACCCTGTTGGTATACCTTATATAATTTTTAATTATATTATTATTAATTAATATGTACATTGTTATCGTATTATATTATTTCTTAGCCTTCTATATTCTGTACAAAACCAAACATCGGGGAAATTATAGTCTTCAGCTCAGATTCATGGATTTTTAGATAGATTTACAGGTTGTATTGACCCTCAAAATCTGCCCAGTTTTACTCACTGAAAATCTCCCATTGTGTTTCAAATGTAGTTTGTAATCTATATATATTATCAATATTACGGCTATTCCGGAAAGTGTAGGAAAAGTTCTCAGTTCTTAGTTCTCCATAAAATGCCATATTATGTAGAAATTGTGCAAAGTATGCTGACACACCTTCA